AGCCCCTGCAGCAGCTCATGTGGACTAACTCCAAACCCACGCTGACTCTGTCTCAACTTGGCAGCTCCCAAGTGTGTGCTCAGCAGTCAGTAAGACCATTCTTTCACTATTCATTTTTGGCTTTTTAAGAAGTCATTTTAGGAGAAATATATAAAGAAAGGAAAAAAAGCTACTTTGTGCATTGGCCGGGAATCGAACCCGGGCCTCCCGCGTGGCAGGCGAGAATTCTACCACTGAACCACCAATGCCACAGTTAATACTGGCATTACTGTGGAGGCTCAGGTGGTCACCCCAGACCCTCGTGCAATGCCGGGCTTCCGCGGAGGTCTCTGCCCAGTCGGGGAGGGGACCCCGGCCACCCCAAAGGTGTCCGGACAAGCAAGAACTTTCCCCCAGCAATGGCGCTCAGCCGGGACTCGTTTCCTTGAGCTTTGTCCTGGGCCCCAGCCCTCCCGGCTCTGTCCTTGCTGGCCCTCAGCAGGGGGGGCTGCCTGTTTTCGGCACCGCACCCTGGCCCACCCCACCCCACCCCACCTCACCTCACCCCGCTGCGCCGGGGGTGGGTACGCGCCCGCCCCGCGGGGCCTGCGCTCTGTTGGCTCACCTTCCTTCCTCTCGGACGGGCCTCCCACCACCGGAATCGGCTTCCAGGTGGTTCCTAGGCCGCCCACCGAGGAAGCGGTGACGGGGGTGGCCGGAAATCTCAGACGCAGGCCTGGGGATCCTGCGGGATGAAGGGGAAGGGAGCCTCCGAATGTCCTCCATTCCGCCCTGAGGGTGTGGGCGCACAGTACCAAAAAGTTGTTTCATAAACTTTACTGCCTCCAGTATGCAACCTCCCCTCCCCTTAATTCATCACCTGCCCCAGCCCCAGCGCAGGTGGCGCCTGCAGCTCCTGCAGCTGTGTGCCCACTGGGCTTCCCAGGCCGGGACCCAGTTATCCCTCTGCACGGATCTCCGCATGGCCCTTGGGCACATGGAGGTACACGGCGCAGGAGAGAAGGGGGTAAAGCTGGGCAGTAAAGTGCCTGGAACCTTCCGGCTCTTCCTTTCTTTGGAGTCCTGGAGCAAAGGGGAAAGTGGATGGCCACAGCCGTAAGCCTGCCTGGCTGGCAGTGCCAGTGCTGGGCCCTGCTCCTGGCCATTCCCACACAAGGATTAAAGGCCCTCACACCCCCACCGTGGCTCTGGGCTCTGACTTAAGGCTTTCCTTTCATCCCTTGCCAGACAGGGATCCAGAGCATCAGCAGGGCCCCAGTCAGGCAGCAGTCTTTGGAAGGCACTGCTCTGGCTGGTCAGAAGCCTGTGGGTGATTGTCCCCCTCCTGCCACCTGGCAGATGCTCCTTATCAGAGGCCAGCCATGGGGAAGCTAGTTTGCTGATGTCTCCCCAAGTGACCTTGATCAAGTCCCTAGGGCTCTTCTGGTGGAAAACCCAGAATTCTAAGGAAAAACTGCATAGTCCAAGTTAAACTAAGGTCTGGGCAAGCACTCCTGGCCCAGTCAATGACCCCTTCCCCATTTTCCTCTGTCCCAACATCAGTAACTATGACCTGGAGTATGAGGTGCACAGAGATGTCCCTGCAGACGAGTGAGCCCTGACTCCTCAGCCCTCTGGGCAAGCGGGTGGGGCTGGTTGACCTCACTCCCTCTCTGCCCTGTCCCCATAGGGTGTATGAATGCCAGAGGATCCCTCCACTCATCAGCCGTGTACCTGTCAAGATCCGGAGGACCCACATGGGCATAGGGGCCAAGAGCAGCTTTGGTCGCCACAAGGGCCCCAGGAATAGCCACCTGCCGCCCCCCGAGCAGATAAAGCGTGAGTGATGGGGCACAGCCCTCACCTGCAGGGCTAGGACAGGGCTGGGTGGCCCTTAGCAGTGAGGGCAGATCCTGGAGCCCTGGCAGCACTGCCTTCTGACTCCTGGACCTGGTGGGCCACCAACTCTGGCCCCTCTCTCAACAGTCCAGATCGAGGAGCTGCACGCCATCATGGCGGAGCTGAGCCAGATCAAGGCCCAGGTGGACCACCTACTGGACAGTCTGGAGCTCCTGGACCAGCAGAAGGATCAGCTTCCAGGTCTGGCCCTGGTCACACTCTCAGCAGGCTCGTTTTTCCCACTGCTGAAGGTGCCAAGGACACCTGAGGTCCCACCTTGGGCTTCCCTTGTCTGCAGGGCTCCTCCCCGCCCTCCCCAGAGTGCACGTCCCCCGACTCCCTCCGCCTGTTTCTGTGGCTTGAGGACCCTTGTGGCTTCTAGGCTGTCCTGCGACCCCCACCTGCTCAGCAGCTGTCTGGAGCCAGAGCAGGGTCCCAGCCCATCTCCGTCTTGTCCCCTTGAGCCCTTGACGTCCTAGGTCAGTGCTGGGCATCAGGCGGTGTCTCTCGAGTCAGCCAGGGCCTCCGAACCTAGCCATTTACTGGTGTCTCTCCCTGCCAGGGACCGAGGACATTGAAGAGAGCAGGCATCCTGGGAGTAAGGATTCCTCATGCAGAACCCCTGAACCCCAGCACAAGCCCAGGGGCCAGAGGGAGGCGGACAGCTCCAGGGAGAGTGCAGACCCAGAGGAGGCAGTGAGTGGCCTGGCGCGTCCGTCCTCCCCTCATGTTTGGGTCCTGTGGCCTGTGAGCAAGGGAGGGACTCGGGTTGTGGCGGTTGGGGGAGGCATATCAATTCTACCAGAGGCAATGCCCTGATGCTTTTTATGCCCTCTCGACTTGGGCTTCGCCCGCTCAGCTGGGCCAGGGCCTACTGCTGGGCAGCTGCGCCAGTTCTGGGCTGAAATATCATGTCCTCCTGGAAAGTGGGGACAGGGGCCTTAGGGCATTGCAGAGGGAATGTCTCAGGTATGCCTCGTTGCCCTTAAACCCTTGCCTAAGAAACAGCTGGTAAGATTTTAAATCTTGTTAAAATCCAGATTTCTGCCCTTTTCCTGCCCCATCCACACCTGCTGCCCTAGGCTCTGTGGGATGTCGTGTACTGTACCGTGCTCCCCAGGAGAGCTGTGGCACGCTGAGCTTCCTGGGTGGAAATATCCAAACCTGGATTAAACAGCCCTTCGTGCAGCGTTAAAGGGCCCAAATGGCTCACCCCTACCCCCACCCTGCATCTGTGGTCCCCGAGGTGGACCAAGCCCCCCTGCAGGTTGGACCATCTCAACAAGGCTGCTGGGGGCTTGGCACAGATGAGCTTCCCTTCTTCTACCTGCCTAGCTCTGCCCCTTGGCCTGCTGGGTTCCAGAGGGCCCTTACTGTTACCCAGGTTACCCAGGCCCTGAGTCACATCGGGGAAAAGGATGGGCTAGGCGGAGAGAATGCTGTCCCATGGCTGTGGGTCCCCAGGTCTCTGGAAGAATCTGGAGTAGCACTAAACTGCCAAGGCTGCCAAGAAAGGGAGGCGGGGAGTGGGGGGAAATGGGACATGTTTGCAGACTGCCCTCCGTTTCCTAGTCACCATGCCCATCAGCACTCCCAGCAGGACTCCTGCTTCTGTCTTCCTACAGGTGAAGAACCATGCGCCAGGCCAGGAGGGCTGTCAGTAGAAGGTTGGAACCCCTCCAAGCACATCGGCTCCAGGCACCTTCCCAGGTGGCTCCCTTCCTTGCCTTGTGTGGTTTTTCAAAGCCCCCCTCACCCCCCACGGGAGGCACCTGTTCTGGAGCGAGGGCAATGGAAGTGGAGGCACGGCTCAACCAGACTAGCCGGGAAGCCTCCCCGGTGGCAGCTTTAGCTTTGGGGTCAGTGTTCCCAGCTTGGTCCAGGGGCAGGAGAGAGGCGGCCGGCAGCTGCTGCACCCCAGCTGACCCTCCTAATGAAGCTGAGGTGCAGCCTCGCTGGGGGCTGTTGGGACAGGGCCTTCCTGGGAGCACATCGGCACCGTACTGCGGGTACTGCTTCAACTGCTCTTCTCCCCTCCCAAGTGAGGCCCTGCCAGTCCGCTGGACGTGGAGCATACTGCAGCAGCCCGCCTAGTATTCTCCAGCCAAAGTGGTGCACAGGAAATGTACTTGTGTTCCTACAACCCCCCTCGCGGTGTGAAACTGAGCTCTAAGGCCCTCGGCGTGTGTCCCACAGAACCCTTTTCAGCTCTAGACTCCCTATCCACCCTACAAAGGCAAACTTCAGAATCGGGGCTTCATTCCTGTTGTTTCTGTGATGCTATGCATGTCAGAGGGGAAAAATGAAATTTGTATTTCTCTTCCCTGGCCAGGGTTCTTGGTGTGCTGTCCCAGCCTCACTCTGGTCCTTGAGCTGCCCTAGGCCAGCTCGTCCTAGAGAAGCTGAGCAGGTCCCTGGGACACACAGGTTCTGAAGCTCATGAGGCTGCAGCAGAGAGGGGACCAGGCTGCTCAGCCTTCCTCCTGTCTAGACCTGAGCACAAAGCTGTGGGCTCAGAAGCCACACAGGGAAGATCCTACCCTCGTGGTCCATCAGCCAGGCCAGTTCTGCCCTCTGGCACTGCCAGGCTGCTCTGGTTTCCCAACAACGAGAAGCTCTCACTCCTGGCAGTTCAGTTCATCTGCCCTCTCTCCAGAGCCAAGACTGGACAATGGGCACCAGATAAAGAAGCCGGCATGGTCCCTCACTTAGCAGCAGTGGCGGTTGTCTCTGGCTGTGCTGCTCTGCACATGGCCAAGGAAGGGTGAGATCTGCCTTCCACCCAGAACCAACCCTTTCCAGCTACCCGACCCGGAGCTGTGGTCTTGCCCAGCACCAAACCAGAGACTAGGGGGTGCACCCAGTACTTCTGGGGCCACACAACTCTCCCCACTCTTGTCACACCCCAGCAGCCATCTGAGTAGCAGCTCCTCCTCTTGCAAAGCACAGTTCCCTGCATCAACCCCTGCAGCTCCTTCAGATTCAGCCTGTCTCTTCTGCTCATCTTAGACACTTTTTAGACAATGCTGCCCCCAAGCCCTTGACACCAGTGGTCCAAGAACACACTGCCCAGCTCAAAGAGCCTTGCTCTTTAAATCCCATAAGAAGCACAATAAAAGACATTTTCAGATATAAAAGGGTTTTTGTTTTGTTTCAGCTCAGATATACGTGAGAAGGCACAGTTCCCTCGTCCCTTCTCTCAAAAGCAGCACAATTATATAGGAAGAAGTAACTGGTTGTCCTGCATAGGGTCCATCCCTTAAAATAGAGCCAGGTTCCGTTTTCTTTTCCTAAGTCCAGCTGAAGTCTTTTCCACCTTGGAAGTCACACTGCATTCGTAGGTTTCTTCCACTGGCTCATAGCTGGGAGCCAGCTCAAGTAGAAAAAGTTTCTTTAATGGAGCAGTTTATTTAAAAAATCGTTTCAACACAGCTGTGCATCAGCTCTACGCGCGCCTCTGCAGATCCTCTCCCGAGCTCCGCATTCTCAGATAGGCGCAGTGTGGAAGCCCACCGCAGGGTCCTTTCAGATCGGCGGCAGCTCGGTCCTCGGCGTCCGTCGTGGTTCAGGACGGCGCGGCGGCGCCCCTGCGGCGGGCGGCCCTTGTCAGACACTGATGCAGCACAGGGTAGAGGCGCTGGCAGCCCTCGAGGCCCAGGCGCACGGCTTCGGCCCAGCTCTCGGTCGGGCCGCCCTCCCCGCTGCCCAGCAGCCCAGCCACCTGGTTGAGCACGGGCATGAGCGCCACGGTGAGGCCGGCGGTGGCGCGCTCCTCCTCCAGCCGCGTGGGGTCCAGCAGCCAGGTAGGCGCGGGCCCCGGCGCACGGCTCAGGCCGCAGCCCACCACCAGGTCGTACATCTCGACGCCCGCGTCGGCCAGGGCGAGTGCGGCGGCTGTGAGCGCGGCAGCGAGAGCCGAGCCGCCATCCTCGAGCAGCAGCGCGGACACCTCGAGCTGCGCGCGTGGGTAGCGGCCCAGGCGCACGGCCGGCTCGAGCGCCTCCTGCAGGGCCAACGCCAGCTCGCGCTCCTCACCGCCTCCGGGCGGCGCGCGGCGCCGGCGGCCCGCGAAAGGCGCGCGGCGGAAGTCGCAGAGCAGGCGGCCGCGCAGCGCAGCCGGGGCCTCGCCGCCCCCACCCGCAGGGCCGCCGCCGCGGTCGCCGCCCTCAACCTGGCGCGGGCCAGACACGGCGCACAGCACCTTGGTGCCTCCCGCTTCCAGGTAGGCGGAGCCCTTGGCCTGGCTCAGCAGCCCGGCGCGCGCGTACACGGGCCGCAGTCGCGTCGGGTCGCGGGCGGCGGGCGCCTCGTCCTCGTCGGCCGCGTACAGCTGCGGCGGCTGCGACTCCTCCGGCCCGCGGATGCGGCGGTGATCCCCGGGCATGGCGGCGCCTGGAGCGCAAGCCACTTCCGCCCGTCTGCACAACCTCTCAGGCCGCTCTTCCGCCAGCTTAAAGCCGCGCGCCCGCGCGAGAGCTGTCGGGATAGCGGCGGGCGCCGCCGCCCCGCCCACTGCAGTCCTGGAGGGAGAACGGCGAGCTCAGCCGAACCCGGGGACGGACGCCCACGGATGGACTCCGCAGGCCTGAGGAAGTGGACCTGGGCCGACCTGGCTGACCTCTAGCCTTCCCCAACAGAGCATAATCTTCCTCCTTTCATTTGTTAAGGTTGTTATTATCTTAATTTTGCACCTATTTGTGTAAGTTTCCCCACTGCCTTGCCCAAGAGGGCAAGGACCGCTTTGCCTTGGTCACTTCTGTACCCTCAGTGCCGTGGCAGCCGTGAACGCTTGTTGAATGAATGAATTCAACTGTCTGTGTTCCGCACTAGTGTGAGCTCTTTGTATTCCTAACACTCCTCTTGGCACGTTTGTCGAAGCCAGGTCCTCAGTGCCCTTTGCCTGTTTCTCTCACACCCCAAGTAAGGACAGCCCCACATCCCCAGGCCTGGGACATCTGACCTCTGCTGCTGCTTCCAGCATAGACCTGCTTTCCTCCTCCGTCCGTGTCAGCAGAGCTGAGAGTGACCTGGGCCCCAGAGCCACTCTTGTACCCAGGAGACATGAAACCAGCCTGAGCCAGCACAGCAAGCGGTAGCTTTTACTTATGTTGCACACTACTGTTTCCAAACCTGGCTGTCCTCAGACTTGGATAAATGGACTCAGGACTAGGGCAGGGTCTCCCTCCTCCCATGTTAAAGTAAAGGGACCAGGAATGATGGGGCAAAGGGGTGGGGGTTGGCAAGTGATGCACCTTAAACACCTATACCAGAGAATGCCTGTGACCTCTTCACACTTGAAATCGACATCAAAAGGGAGGGGAACAGGGACAGGGGCTAAGAAATGGGAGAGGCTCTTCTGTGCTTCCAATAACCCTGAGGATCATCTTCAATGGAATGATTAATGCCTCTCTCCATATCACCCCTCCCCCCATCCTGTGGGCCACCTCCACAAATGTCTTGAGGCAATCCCAGGGGCCATGCCCGAAGTTCATGGGTCGGGGTGAGGTCTACAACCAGAATCCAGTCAAAGCCACATTTATTCTACAGACACCTAGGCTGTCACACAGGGCTGACTGTGACCCCGGGCCCCAGGGCCAGTCTTTTGTACAGGGGGGCAGCTATTTGGGGGTGGGGGAAGCTAAGAGATCACATGGCATCATCAAGTATTGCACATGGTCCTTTTATTCTGTGCAGCAAAAATGATCCCTCCATGCAGACCCAGTTCTCAGGTCTGCAGAGAACTCTATCTAACAGGATGACGATAAATAGCAATCCTGGGGTAGTGGTTCTAGACAGATGGTGCTCATATGGTAGGGCTCAGGGCAGAAATGTCAGTCACAGGCTGGCTCCCAGGTGAGTGTGTGACTGCCAGGTTAGAAGGACAGATGGGCTGTTTAAAGGTCCCGATGCTCAAATGTCCTAGTGGCAGATGGAGCGCTCCTAGCTGGACGGATGCACTGGGCAAGGAGGAGATGCTGCCCGTCCATCAGTTCTCCACAGCCCCCAGGTGGAGCTGGGCAAACGACGTGGCCAGCTGCAGTGCTTCCTGCAGGCAGCCCACATTCTTGCCCGTGGCCTGAGCAGACACGTCTTTGCCGCCACCTTTGCCGTCCATCAGGCCTGACACCTGCTGTACCCACTCACTGGCTTTCAGGCCTCGGCTGGCTGCATTCTGGAAGACAGGACGAGGTAACAGAAGTCAGACGATAGGACTTTGAGACACAGAGAGGGGAAAGAAAGAAAAGGGATGGGGGAGCCACAGGTACAGGCTCCTACCCTGGGATACTGCTGTGCTGCAGACAGACCTGCAGCTGGTGCTGTGCCAGACGGCATACCAAGGAGCAACACCAGGTGTCAGCCAGCACAGAAACAGCCACCAAGGAGAGGGCCTGACGGTAAGGGTGCTGGAGCTGACAAATAGGTGGGCAGGAGAATGGCCATTTCCAACAGGTTATGTGCACACACATAACATTTGCGCAACCATAAGAAGAAACAAACTTCCTCAGAAAAACTAGACACCACTTCCTGCTGGCACAGGGCTGCAGGGTTTGGAGCAAGGCTGCAGGGTGTCTGACCTGGGGTACTTGACACAAGCATGTGATCTTGCCAGCCTCATTATCCACCGTGAAGAGCATGGCAGACGTTTGAGGGGAATGTGTCTTGAAGAGCTTCAAGGCTTCATTCAGAGCCTGTGGGGAGAACCTGGTGTCAGGCTATGGCATGGCTATGGGGACCATGCTCTTCACAAGTGTGGTGAGCTTGTGGAGCTCAGCTCTCAGAATAACCCCTGCCCTGCTCCCATCCCCATCCCTTTTAAAAGCAGGTGCTGGTCCCAGGTGCCCATACTCTGGCTCTGAGATTTGCCTTCTACCTCTAGGAGCCATAGCTTCCAGCCACCAGACCTCTCCATGACTCAGATGAACCTTAATCCCAGAGAGTGGGCCCGCAGGCAGCCACTCCACTCAAAGCCACAGAGCTCACACTTCAGCCACCAGAGGGCTGATGAGACCCCGAGAGGAGACAAGCAGTAGTGGGCACAGAGCAGCGCCTGGAGCCCCAGCCCCTGGGTTGCCTTGGCCGAGGCGCCGCTCTCCATCTCCAGGATGACAAGGGGCTGGTTGGGGTTGCTGTCAATGAGTTGCTTTGTCTTCTCCAACACCTGCAAGGAAGGAAGTCCAGAAGCGAGGCATCAGGTCCAAGGCTGGACACCAACACCCAGACGGCAGTCTGCACAGCCTTTGCTGGAAATTCCTCTTGGCTCCTGTCCAGCCACCAGCACCATGAGGACTCACCCGCTTCTGAACATCGGCTTTGCTAGCTCGGTCTAGGTCGTCCATGACCTTCTTCAGAGATCTGAGATTCTCTCGGAATTCGTCTTTCTGCCACTGGGGAATGACTGCAGTGGCCAAGGCCTGAAACCAGAACCGGAATACCACTGGGATCTGGACCATGAGGAGCTCAGATGTGAGGCTCCAGCCCACCCACCATTCTGGCTTTGGATACCAAAGTCCTCCCCAACCAGTATCTGGAATGAGAGAAAACAAAAAACAGAAGGTATCCACTGGGCCTGACACCAGTCATGTTACAATCAACTGCACCACTGTTAATGAGTAGGGCTGGAGAGAAAGGGGCAGAACACAGAGGGATCCCCCGTAATACATGGTCTCTACCAGGCAGTGACCACAACCTGTGGTGGGTTTCTAGAAGCCCCCCAACAACACCAGGTGTCAGCCAGCACAGAAACAGCCACCAAGGAGAGGGCCTGACGGTAAGGGTGCTGGAGCTGACAAATAGGTGGGCAGGAGAATGGCCATTTCCAACAGGTTATGTGCACACACATAACATTTGCGCAACCATAAGAAGAAACAAACTTCCTCAGAAAAACTAGACACCACTTCCTGCTGGCACAGGGCTGCAGGGTTTGGAGCAAGGCTGCAGGGTGTCTGACCTGGGGTACTTGACACAAGCATGTGATCTTGCCAGCCTCATTATCCACCGTGAAGAGCATGGCAGACGTTTGAGGGGAATGTGTCTTGAAGAGCTTCAAGGCTTCATTCAGAGCCTGTGGGGAGAACCTGGTGTCAGGCTATGGCATGGCTATGGGGACCATGCTCTTCACAAGTGTGGTGAGCTTGTGGAGCTCAGCTCTCAGAATAACCCCTGCCCTGCTCCCATCCCCATCCCTTTTAAAAGCAGGTGCTGGTCCCAGGTGCCCATACTCTGGCTCTGAGATTTGCCTTCTACCTCTAGGAGCCATAGCTTCCAGCCACCAGACCTCTCCATGACTCAGATGAACCTTAATCCCAGAGAGTGGGCCCGCAGGCAGCCACTCCACTCAAAGCCACAGAGCTCACACTTCAGCCACCAGAGGGCTGATGAGACCCCGAGAGGAGACAAGCAGTAGTGGGCACAGAGCAGCGCCTGGAGCCCCAGCCCCTGGGTTGCCTTGGCCGAGGCGCCGCTCTCCATCTCCAGGATGACAAGGGGCTGGTTGGGGTTGCTGTCAATGAGTTGCTTTGTCTTCTCCAACACCTGCAAGGAAGGAAGTCCAGAAGCGAGGCATCAGGTCCAAGGCTGGACACCAACACCCAGACGGCAGTCTGCACAGCCTTTGCTGGAAATTCCTCTTGGCTCCTGTCCAGCCACCAGCACCATGAGGACTCACCCGCTTCTGAACATCGGCTTTGCTAGCTCGGTCTAGGTCGTCCATGACCTTCTTCAGAGATCTGAGATTCTCTCGGAATTCGTCTTTCTGCCACTGGGGAATGACTGCAGTGGCCAAGGCCTGAAACCAGAACCGGAATACCACTGGGATCTGGACCATGAGGAGCTCAGATGTGAGGCTCCAGCCCACCCACCATTCTGGCTTTGGATACCAAAGTCCTCCCCAACCAGTATCTGGAATGAGAGAAAACAAAAAACAGAAGGTATCCACTGGGCTTGACACCAGTCATGTTACAATCAACTGCAGCACCGTTAATGAGTAGGGCTGGAGAGAAAGGGGCAGAACACAGAGGGATCCCCCGTAATACATGGTCTCTACCAGGCAGTGACCACAACCTGTGGTGGGTTTCTAGAAGCCCCCCAAGTACTAACACACAGGAGGCCTGCAAACAGTGGGCACCCATGGCACCTCTCCCAACTCCAGTGCCCATGTGTGCTTGAAATGGGCTCTCCTGCCACAAGCAATGGGACAGCAGGTAGGCTCCAAGCGTCTGTAGGCCAGATCCATGGAGTCTCCTTTGCAAGTTTGTCAGATAACACAAGTCAGTCCAAAGGCCCCCTGCCTTGAGAACCGGGGCCTGAGTTTTCATGAGCAGGGAGTCTGATTCATTGGGACTAGGACCTGGCACTCGGCAGCCCTGAGGAGGGAGGCTGCCCCTACCTCACTGAGGTCGGCAATCTCTCTCTGCACATCCTTGTTTGGCGCAGCCTGGGCCTTCACTTTGGCCTCCATGGCAGAGAGAGATTTCGTCAAGCTCTCCGCTTTCCTGAGGGCCTGTGAAGGGGACAGAGTTGTAAATTCGGGGTCAGGTACCTTTCCGCTTCACTGTTCTGTCTGTAAACAGCTGTGGAAAACACTGATGGCAGGCTGTGGAACAACACCCACCCTCACCCTCACCGCAAGGACACCAGTTAGTGTTTGCAGCCTCACGCCCCAGAAAGGAGCATGCTGCACCAACTCAAGTTCAGGGGTGAGCAGGAACTTGAATCAGGAGCCCCTTCTCACCCCATGAAATGATCACTCCTCAAGCTTCCTCAGGCACAGGCTGCAGTCTCCACCCCCAGGGCAACTGTCCCCATCCTGCATACATGTCAAACTAGGCATGTACCCCTAGGGAGGTGTGGGTAAGTGCTGCGGGCACTGAAGCCATAGCAAAACTACAGCTTACCCTCCTAGACACAGATATATTATTGAGGAGATGGCAGAATTGTATCCTTCAAGATTAAATATAAGATAGCCAGGAAGTCTTATTCAGTAATGGCCTTCTTCTGCAGGTCAGGGTAACTGGAGGACATTTTCGGGGTAGCACTGTACTTCTGATTCTGCCTACAGCAGCCATGTCACTGTCTGCACATTGGAGTCACCGATTGGGCTCCTCTTTGTTCAAATAAGCCACAAACCAGGCTACTTTGCTCACCTTCTGGGCTTCGGCACCCGTGACACCAACAATCCTCCGGATGCCCTTGGCAATAGCCTCTTCACTCACAATCACAAAAGCTCCTGCGTGACTTGAATTCTGCAGGTGCCTGAATTGCAGAATACAAAGTCCGTGATGAGGAAGCAGGTTCTCCCTGGGAGCCCTCAGCAGGGATGTGAGCTCTGTGAGACAGCTGCTCCCAAGGAAGCTCCCTCAAGGGGACAGTGGGAAAAGGCCCTTCCTGTTCATCTCGGCATACAGCTCTGGCCAGGAAGAGGCAGAAAGTCAGAGGTGGCCTGGCTGGGGCAGAAAGCATCATGACACTAAGCAAGACACCACCTTTCTGAGCCTCAGTTTCTCATGTATAAAATGGGGATAATTTCCCCTCACAGCATTGCTGTGAAAATCAAATGAGAGAAAATGAAAATGCTTTGTAATTCCTAATGCCCGACACCAATGTTACTGTCGGTGGGCTCTACATTCATTCACATTTTTGGTCCTTTTTGGTGGAATGTTATGCTACTCTCTTCTATATTCCTGCTCCCTAGCTGAGAATATTGGAACACAACCTTTAAAATCTTAGCACAACCCCTTATTGCAAATAGGCTTATTCCCCAGTGTCATGTAAAGAGGTTTTGAGAAGTGGGACTTATTTGAAGGGCCAGTTCAGCTGGGCAAAGGGAGCCCAGATGTGACCTCCTGACTCTCAATCCATCCTCTGAGGCTCACCTGCTCCCTGCCTTTCTGAGGCCCATGAGGCCCTGGATAGGCTCTACCATGGCCTTAAGAACATTCTTTTCATTAAGATCCCTTTGGAAGCAGGAACTTCCCAGGGCATCACATCATCCCAGAAAGACCCCAAGGGCTATGGTGGGTGCCAAGTTGGCAGAAACAGGTGGCTCTCCCCAAACAACCAAGTCTCCTGTGGGCCCTGACGGTGGACCTGGCTCAGGGGTTCTGAGACAAAGGGCTGAGTTCCCCAGATGCTGCTCGAGCTGGCCCAGGGACTGAGAGAGGCCCCAGGAGCGAAGAGGGGCTAGGACCAGGTCAGGAGCTTGACAAGCACTCCATGGCCTTGCCAAATCCTCAATCCACAGGCCTCCGTGCTGGGATGAGCCCAGGGAACAAGAGCACGCTACTGTGAGGTAAGTGTTAAGATAATGTTTCCCCTTCCCCTCCTAAGAACAACATTCCTTCATGATCCCAGGACACATCACCGCAGACACTAAGGGGTCTGCCTGCAGCACTAGGATACCCAGATGCTTGGGAATGATGGTTGGCAACTGCATTTCTGAGAACTTCATTTCAACTGTAGAAAAACAGAATTGGTCTAGCTTCCCAGGGTAATGCCCAATTCATAAAAGGCAGGCCCACTCAGTGCTCCCCTGAGGTACTCACGTTCCCCCACAGAACTCAACAGAAGTGAGCGAGCCAGCAGGACCAGAGGGGTCATCCAACAGCTCAGACACTGGGACCCCAATGGAGACGACTCGCACGGGGTCAGGGTAGGTTTCATCAAACACAGCCCGCAGGCCCTGGATGGCTTTAGCTGCTGCCAGTGGACAATCCTGGGTGTAGACAGGCTACCAGGGAAGAAGACAGAAAAAAAAAAGCTGGGAAAACATCTTCTCTGGAGGTGCAGTGGGAAGCAGAAGGGAAAGCATGGTCTGGCAGAGAGGACTCGGGTTTGTAATCCTGGCTCCACCACTACGTGCCCTGAGTCTCCTGGAATAAGGCACTGTGTGTAAAGTCGAGGGGATCCAAAGAGGAATTTCCAACAGTTTTGTTAAACTGTGGAACAAATCTTATGTGGATTACTACACGTAAAAGAGACACAGCCAGAAGAGCTCTGGTTGTCCTAAGGAAGAAATGGAGCAAGACCTTCCTCTGCACCCCCCTCAGGGGCCCCAAGGCCCCTCCACCAAACACCACCCACGCCACCTCCCCAGCGCAGCTGAGAATCACTGCTTTAAGATGTCCCAGTCTGTGTACGGGACAGAATACAGTAGGACAGAGTGGAGCATCTGGGCTGCTGCAGCCCGTGAATACAAAGTGCAGGAGGAAGGGAGGCTCATGACCTAACAGCCTGCCCACAGCCCAACCTACCCTGGCAGCCTCAATCATCTCGTTCACAATCTCCTCGGCCTTCTTGATCTGTTGCGTGGACATGGCTCCTTTGGCAGTGAAGTCAAACCGAAGGCGATCAGGGGCAACCAGGGAGCCTCTCTGGTCGGCTTCCCCAAGCACAGAGCGCAAGGCAAAGTTCAGGATGTGAGTAGCTGTGTGGTTGCTCATGACAGGCCTTCGTCGGGGCTGTGAAGGACAGAGCCGGCTGGTAGAGAGGCTAGTCGCCCTCCAATACCTGCTCTCCCCTTCTTTCCAAGTATTAGGATTTTTAGTTGGACACATGGCTTCCCAGCATCCCTTGCAGCTCATTGTAGCCACGTGACTAAATTCTGGTCAGTGGGCTGTGAGCAGAAGTGATACATACCCTTAAAGGAAAGGAATATTCCCTCCCCTTCCTCTTTCCTACTGCCTAGAACAGGAGTTGGCAAACTACAGCCTATGGGTCAAATCCGACCTGTTGTCCATTTCTGTAAATAGGTTTATCGGAACACCAGCACACCCACGTTCTTACATATTGGCCATGGCGCTTTAATGCTACAACAGCAGAGTTGTGTTGTTGTGATTATAGGCCACATGCCTAGCAAAGCCAAAAGTAGTTATTTCTTACACTTACAAAAAAAGCCGGCCTAGAAAACGGATCTGAGAGCTACCTTCTTGGACCATGAAATCAAGAGCGACACCCCAGGAATGAGGGTAGAGCAACAAGAAAGGAAAAGCTGGGCCCTTATGACTTTGGGGGCAGAGGCCCTGGATCACTTGGCCTTTCGGGCAATAAACACATTTCTATCTTGTTTTAAGCTACTTTCATTTCAGAGCATAGTCACATGCAATAGACCCTGTTTCCTAAGTAATACAGGATCCTTGGCTCCTGAAGAGGCAAGTCTGCGAGGTTAACCTGGAGAAGGCAACCCATTAAAACAAGTCAGGGGGACCTCAACTGAAGTCACTGGTGATTTAACTTCCAATTACATCCCTCATGAAGTTTACTCCTGCACTCTACTTATAATAATCTATTTTTAAGTTCACTTAGAGGTGACAATAATGAGACAGTTTAAAGCCAAAGGAGATGAATTTTTTCCACAATTTAGAAGTATTATCAAATCACCATGACATACACTTCAAATATCTTACAATTTTGTATGTCAATTATACCTCAATAAGGCAGAAATGTTAAAAAAAAAATTTTAAATAAGATGATTATTCATCAGATCCCATGCTGACATGCATAATACAACTCACCTCATCAATGAACAACCGGACCTCGTCCCCCACTCTCAGGCCGCCATAGACCGTTCCTATGTGCAGCACATACCCTCCTCGCACCTGAGCATTCTTCACTGTAAACTCGGTTTTCTGAGTCAAGGAGAAGATAAAAAATAAATGAATCACACATATGCATATATATAAAAATATACATGTGTGCACACACACATTTATAAATTCTCTTTACATATACAAATTATATACACACACTCTCCCTAAGACCTGCCTTACTGGTGTGTGTGTACATACAAACCATTAAAACCATTATGCTTATACATATACACATATGCCATTATATATCTATAGGGTATACACACTTTATGTATATGCACATATACAGATATACACACACACCATTAAGGAGCATCTTCAAGAATTTAAAGCCATTGTAAGAACCTAAGCCTACAAGGCTAAGAGACTCATCCAAGCCCACAGTATGAGCAGTGGAGGAGAGCTGCCTCTCCTCATCCGTGAGGAAAGCCTCATAGGAGGAATCAAGGATCAGCCTATAAAACCTGGCTGCAGGGATCCTGCTGAGGGGACCTAAAGGCAGTGAAAGCATGCAGCACGAGCAGCAGCTCCCTCTGCTCCAGAAACAATGGGTCATGAGTCCCCGCAAGGCAGGGGCGCCAAGGAGCCAAAGCTGCCCCAGTCCATGCCCCACCCTTTAATGGACCCTCTCCTTGGCTGACAAGGACAGACGCTGGCTCACATCTTCGCTGAGTGTGTAAAGTCGAGGGGATCCAAAGAGGAATTTCCAACAGTTTTGTTAAACTGTGGAACAAATCTTATGTGGATTACTACACGTAAAAGAGACACAGCCAGAAGAGCTCTGGTTGTCCTAAGGAAAAAATGGAGCAAGACCTTCCTCTGCACCCCCCTCAGGGGCCCCAAGGCCCCTCCACCAAACACCACCCACGCCACCTCCCCAGCGCAGCTGAGAATCACTGCTTTAAGATGTCCCAGTCTGTGTACGGGACAGAATACAGTAGGACAGAGTGGAGCATCTGGGCTGCTGCAGCCCGTGAATACAAAGTGCAGGAGGAAGGGAGGCTCATGACCTAACAGCCTGCCCACAGCCCAACCTACCCTGGCAGCCTCAATCATCTCGTTCACAATCTCCTCGGCCTTCTTGATCTGTTGCGTGGACATGGCTCCTTTGGCAGTGAAGTCAAACCGAAGGCGATCAGGGGCAACCAGGGAGCCTCTCTGGTCGGCTTCCCCAAGCACAGAGCGCAAGGCAAAGTTCAGGATGTGAGTAGCTGTGTGGTTGCTCATGACAGGCCTTCGTCGGGGCTGTGAAGGACAGAGCCGGCTGGTAGAGAGGCTAGTCGCCCTCCAATACCTGCTCTCCCCTTCTTTCCAAGTATTAGGATTTTTAGTTGGACACATGGCTTCCCAGCATCCCTTGCAGCTCATTGTAGCCACGTGACTAAATTCTGGTCAGTGGGCTGTGAGCAGAAGTGATACATACCCTTAAAGGAAAGGAATATTCCCTCCCCTTCCTCTTTCCTACTGCCTAGAACAGGAGTTGGCAAACTACAGCCTATGGGTCAAATCCGACCTGTTGTCCATTTCTGTAAATAGGTTTATCGGAACACCAGCACACCCACGTTCTTACATATTGGCCATGGCGCTTTAATGCTACAACAGCAGAGTTGTGTTGTTGTGATTATAGGCCACATGCCTAGCAAAGCCAAAAGTAGTTATTTCTTACACTTACAAAAAAAGCCGGCCTAGAAAACGGATCTGAGAGCTACCTTCTTGGACCATGAAACCAAGAGCGACACCCCAGGAATGAGGGTAGAGCAACAAGAAAGGAAAAGCTGGGCCCTTATGACTTTGGGGGCAGAGGCCCTGGATCACTTGGCCTTTCGGGCAATAAACACATTTCTATCTTGTTTTAAGCTACTTTCATTTCGGAGCATGGTCACATGCAATAGACCCTGTTTCCTAAGTAATACAGGATCCTTGGCTCCTGAAGAGGCAAGTCTGCGAGGTTAACCTGGAGAAGGCAACCCATGAAAACAAGTCAGGGGGACCTCAACTGAAGTCACTGGTGATTTAACTTCCAATTACATCCCTCATGAAGTTTACTCCTGCACTCTACTTATAATAATCTATTTTTAAGTTCACTTAGAGGTGACAATAATGAGACAGTTTAAAGCCAAAGGAGATGAATTTTTTTCACAATTTAGAAGTATTATCAAATCACCATGACATACACTTCAAATATCTTACAATTTTGTATGTCAATTATACCTCAATAAGGCAGAAATGTTAAAAAAAAAATTTTAAATAAGATGATTATTCATCAGATCCCATGCTGACATGCATAATACAACTCACCTCATCAATGAACAACCGGACCTCGTCCCCCACTCTCAGGCCGCCATAGACCGTTCCTATGTGCAGCACATACCCTCCTCGCACCTGAGCATTCTTCACTGTAAACTCGGTTTTCTGAGTCAAGGAGAAGATAAAAAATAAATGAATCACACATATGCATACATGTATATACACACACATGTATATGCATATATATAAAAATATACATGTGTGCACACACACATTTATAAATTCTCTTTACATATACAAATTATATACACACACTCTCCCTAAGACCTGCCTTACTGGTGTGTGTGTACATACAAACCATTAAAACCATTATGCTTATACATATACACATATGCCATTATATATCTATAGGGTATACACACTTTATGTATATGCACATATACAGATATACACACACACCATTAAGGAGCATCTTCAAGAATTTAAAGCCATTGTAAGAACCTAAGCCTACAAGGCTAAGAGACTCATCCAAGCCCACAGTATGAGCAGTGGAGGAGAGCTGCCTCTCCTCATCCGTGAGGAAAGCCTCATAGGAGGAATCAAGGATCAGCCTATAAAACCTGGCTGCAGGGATCCTGCTGAGGGGACCTAAAGGCAGTGAAAGCATGCAGCACGAGCAGCAGCTCCCTCTGCTCCAGAAACAATGGGTCATGAGTCCCCGCAAGGCAGGGGCGCCAAGGAGCCAAAGCTGCCCCAGTCCATGCCCCACCCTTTAATGGACCCTCTCCTTGGCTGACAAGGACAGACGCTGGCTCACATCTTCGCTGCTGTCGTCAACCTTCACCAGGTAGCCTTCATCGTAGATCTGCCCTCCTTGCTCGGCATAGAAACAGGTCTTATCTAGCACCACTCCACACTCCTGGCCCGTGGACACTTCCTCCACAAACATCTTATCCCTGCGCAGAGCCATCACCGTAGCCACTGCGCTCTCAAATGCTGCACAGAGGAGGGAAAACAGGGTCAATGATTTGGTTCACACATTCTTAGCTGGCTTTTGCTGCATTCTATCTCTCAAACTCTCCTTAGGTCCTAATTGTCTAACTTTGCATGGGAAGCAAGTCCATTAGACCCCACAAAGGGCTTAACATGGTGATTTTCTACCAGACAACGTAACACACAGTAGGGTAACCAACTGTCCCAGTTTGTTTGGGACCAAGGGGTTTCTCAATATGTAAGATTTTCAGCATTAAACACTACGACAGTTCTGAGAAAACTGGGGCAGTTGATCATCCTACATTGGAGCTACTGAGCAGAAACCTGGTAGATCTGATTACATTGGATCCTTGAACATCATGGGTTTGAAATGAATGAGGGTCCACTTATATATGTTTTTTTTCCAGTACGTATATTAGAAAAGTTTTTTGAAATTTACAACAATTTGAAAAAAACTATTTTCCTTACCTTACTTTATTATAAGAATATAGCATATAATAGATATAAAAGAAAATATTTATTAACCAACTACTTGTGTTATTGGTAAGCCTTCTGGTCAACAGCAGGCTACTAGGAGTTTTTAGAGAGTCAAAAGTTATACACAGATTTTCAACTGCACCTGGGGTTGGTGCCCGACTCCTTGCATTGTTCAAGGGTCAACTGTAGTAGGTATTAAAGAGTAGTAATAAATTCCCTACTCCACAGTCAATTCACAAAGAATGTATTCATTTTATGGGCTCATGTGGATAGATTTAGATATCTCTTCTAGAGCATAAAAGCAAAAACATGTATTGCCTATTTATTTCTTTAGAATGCTACTATACTGATGTAAAATTCAACAGCCACTGTAGACTGTATCAACGTCAATTTCCTGGCTTCCTATAAGATGTTACAATTGGAGAAACTAGGTGAAGAGTACAAGGGCTCTTCCTGTAAAATTTTTCTTACAGTTTCCTGTAAATCTGTAATTATTCCAAAATAGAGTGAGAAATTAAATCTCCAAGGGTCTGTATAGGTATAAAATTACATAGCACTATAGGAGGTAAGATATCCTGGGTTCCTAATCTTGAGACTTATCTCTCAAAAACCTCCCCAGATGAACACAGTAACATACCATAGCTCCCGCTGGAGTCTGAATAGTAATTATACTTTGGGGAATCATCTGTTGCCTCCAGACCCTTTTCCCGGAGTTCTTCAATAGCATAAATGTCCAGCATAATAAGGTCTTCTCCACCAGCTCCCTTGCCCTGTGATTTCACCTGCCAGTAAGAGAAATAAGCATAAGCTACCCTAATGTAGGAGAGAGAATCTGAAAGACTCAAAATTGCTAACCTATGCCCAATGTAAAGCTCTACAACAGCAGTTTTCAATCTCAGCACTCCTGATATTTGGGGCCTGGTAATTCTTTGTTCTGGAGGCTTGTCCCCAATAGGATGCCGATCGGCACGCTGGCCTCTACTCGCCTGATACCAGTAGCGTCCCACCCACCGCTGTGAAAACCAAAGAATGTCTTCATACATCACTGCCAAATATCCCCTGGGAGGCCAAACTGCCCCCTACTTCAGACTCACTGGTGTTGGGGAAAAAAATTGCAAAGACTTTAATGAGATGAAACTCTTGCTTTTTTTGCAACCAAGTCCTGCCTTGCTTGGTGTCAGGTGTCCTGCTCACTCCCCAAATTCTTTACCTGGGCCAGTTTCCTTTCCTCTTCAAAGCCATCCATATCTACAACCAGGCCCTTCTCTTCAGCAATCAGTGCAGTGAGGTCCACTGGAAACCCATAGGTGTCATAGAGGAGCCAAGCAGTGTCCCCTACACAGCACAAAGGAACTGTGTAAGAATGACATGGACCGCCCCTTTCTTTTCCATCCTAAGCCCTTCCCAGAAGGTCGCTAGCTGTGACAAAAGGGATTGAAGAGACAGGCAAATTAGTACTGGTTTTGTGCACTTGTTAGAAAAATCCACCAAATCTTTTGGAATTGACCTGGAGAAGGCACAGGTGGTCTACTGGTAAAATTCTGTTTCTTAATCTGAATACAGGTGTGTTCAGTTTATGGAAACTCATCAGGCTTTCCTCTTGTACATTTTATTGTACTTCAACAAAAAGTAAAAAGAAAAAAAAACTTTTAGGACCAATTTTCCTGTCTGCTAAGAAAACTAAAGCAAGTTGAAAAACAGCATATACATATGTTCCCATTTTCGCTTACACACACACACACGCATGCTTACATACATTTGTACGAAAACAGACCGAAGTCCTGACTAGTCATATACCAAACTCAAGAGTTATTACCTCTGAGAAATATGTTTGGGAAAGAGGATTTTCACTTTTTACTTCTGCATTATTTAAGTTCTTTGCCTCAGCAGTGTATTACTTTTGTAATTTTACTATAAGCTCCAGTTCACACCACAAGTAGTTTAAGCAACCTATGCTCAGCCTCTGGAGACACGGGACTCCACTGTCAGTTTGAGAAAAAGGGCTGTGTCTCCCGGAAAGACGAGCCAGCCTGGATGCAGGAAGGGACCACCAGTCCTTACCGGGAATGGTCCTGCTGTCTCCCAGGCTCTGAATTTTCCTGTCCAAGATGCGACGCCCTCTGCTGAGAGTCTTGAGAAACTGCACTTCTTCTTCATTAACGATGTCCTTCACCAAATCTGGGTCCTTCTTCAATTCAGGAAATGCATCTCCCTGGAAAAGGGGAAATGGAAATGTGACCCCAGTGAAGCCAGGGACTAGTCTATGACCCTCTAAAAATTCTCATTAACAGTACACTCTCTCCCCACCTATCCCTCTTCAGGCATGTGCTTTACTACAGAAGAGGTAAGCAGGGAAATATACCTACCAGGGACTGGACGACAACATCTACTAAAGTAGCAAAGAAACCCTTGCTGGCGTTGAGTTTCTCATGGGAGTATCGAACAGCCCGGCGGAGAATCCGTCTCAACACATACCTGGTAAGAGGAAGAACCGGGTCTCCTAGACAATGTTCCCAGCATTTTGTCATGGGTCTTTGGAATTCTACCCAAAGCAACATGACCAACTTTTTGTCTTTCTCTTTCAGATACTTTTTTTTTAATCCTAGGCCTGCTTCTTTTTGCATTCCCACAGGTCATTAATTCCAGCATAAAACTCAGGACCATACGCACAAATACCCATCAAGGCTGACTTAGGGTAACCTGGTTTGTTTCCCTATCATGTTGTGCTGACCCAGAGAAAGGAGGCAAGAGGTACAAACCCGGATGACTGATTTGATGCCCCAAATCCAGGTCCTGCCTATCAGTAATGAGGCTGTTTGAGACTAATCAATAGCTACTCCCACCCAACTCCACAAATATCCTATCAGACAATCTTAAATTCAATCCTTATCTCATACCTAGCAGCAAAGATTTAATATAGTGGCTCTTTAAAGTGAGCCAAAACTCCTTTTATCCTTAACAAATAAAGGGATTCCCTCCAATTACCTAGAAGACAAAGAAAATAATAATAAAGTATGGCTCTAAGTTCCACAGAAAGTCAGTCCTGACCCTGCCCTGTGTGTAACATACTTACCCCCTCCCTGTGTTGTCAGGTCGGCCACCATCAGCCAGTGCCACGGTGATGGTCCGAGCGTGGTCAGCCAGCACCCGATAGGCCATGTCGATCCCATCGGCATCTTCAGCACCAACTTTCCCAGTGTATGGCCGGGCCCCCGTGCCCTACGGATAAAAACCAGAAGGCAGCTCCTCAGGAAGCAGCCCTCCTGTTGCCGCCTTGCCCTAGAGGTTCCAAGAGGATTGAGGGGCATTAGGAGAAAGGATGACCCTCTGGCCAGACCCTGTAACCCCAAGAAAGGTGAGTAGCAGGAATAAAGAGCCTCCAGCCAGGCCCCTGCACTCAACAAATTACAGTGCCTCGTGCTTAGAGCCTCATGTTCTCACAGGTGCCCGTAGCTGGCAAAGCATAGTAGTAGTACTAAGAGTCAAACCTGGAAACCTCCACAGAAGTTTGTAGAAAGACCAATACCTTCTGAATGGCTTCAAAGTAAGGGACAAAAAGGTCAGTGTCATAGTTGGACATCTTATTCTGCAGCACAGACACCAGTCGCTCCAGGCCCATTCCTGTGTCAATGCTTTTCTTGGGGAGAGGTTTGAGAATGCCATCAGTTTCCCTGCAAGATGGAGAGAAAGCGGAAGCTGAAGCTAGGACTCAAGCTGCCACCTCGCCCTGCTCATTAAAACTCGTTTACTCAGCACAGTTTGCAGGCTGTGACTCTCTGCCATTCGCCTCGGCCTGATTTGGTGGGAGGAGGGAAACGGTCGGAGAAGGGGAAAGAAAAGTACTCTGCTAGGGTCCACTAAGGAGTGAGGCAAGCTTCAAGGAAATGAGCTTTAAAACAGTAGTTCAAATTACAGCAAAAATGACATTTCAGGAGTAGCCCTTAAGCAGGAATTCTGTGGAATAAAACTAGTTTACAAAAGAACAGGCCCAGCCCTGTCCCAGAAATCAGAAGGAAAACCTGAGAAATAAAATTTAAAGAATGACCACAGGATCCCATGATGCCTTTAGTGCCTACTTTAGCACTGCTCCACTGTCCCTAAAGACAAGGATGAGACGGTAGCCATGTGCCCTGATTTCTTCTTTCTCTACTCGGCTTCAGGAAAGGTGCTGCTCTTCACAGCAACAGTTCAGGACCCCAAGGCCACCTGTTATACTGGATGAACACAAGGTTCCAGATCTCCAGCACATTGGGGTCATCCTGGTTGACGAGGTGCGCAGCATCCCGGCCACCAATCCGGTCATAATGGATCTCACTGCAGGGACCACAGGGACCGGTGTCACCCATCTCCCAGAAGTTATCCTTCATGTTGCCAGGGAGAATTTTGGTGTCATCCAACCTGCAGAGTGGAGACAATAAGCACAGTTACAGGCACGCACAAGGATTCTGTCCAGACTTGCATCCACTACAAAGGGTGATCCTTATGCATTTCTAGAAAGAAGGCCCACTCTTTGGCAATTATGAATGCTGAGTGTGTTTTTTCACAGACATTCACAGTGATAGTATCACAGCAGTATAACTCTTTTTAGGATCCTGGACCCGATTCCAGTGTGTGGAGGGACAGGGGTGAGGGGTCTCCCACACACAACACCAACCAATTCTTAACCACAAACAGGGTGCCCCAGATTCAATTGTGATGCTCTGCTCAGAGACAGCACCACATTCCCCAGGTTAAGAGCTCTGTCCTACAAGACTGCCCTGAACCCTCAACTCCATATGCTTGTCATAAGCCCCAGGCAGTTAGTTACCTGTGCTTCTGACCTACCGGCTATAGACTAGAGGTCCCACGACCTCCCCTTGAGGTTCAATTAGTTTGCTAGAGTGGTTCACAGAACTTAGGAAAACACTTACATTTACCAGTTAAATAAAATAAAAGATACAAGTTAACAGACAGATGAAGAGATACATAGGACAAGGTCCCAAATAAAGGAGCTTCTAGCCTGGCTCGGTGGCACCTGGGAGCATTCTGGTTCCCCAAACAGGGAAGCTCTCTCCCATGGAGAAGCAGAATCCAAGACAGAGACATGCTCTTCTCAGGGGTTTTTGTGAAGGCTTCATTGCCTAGTTGTGATTGACTAAATTATTGGCCATTGGCTGATTCAACCTCCAGCCCTGTCCTTGGGTGGGGGTCCAAAAGTCTCTCATTAACATGGTAAGGCTTTGAAGTGTTTTCAGGAACTGTGGATGAAGACCAAATATACCTGGGAAATATGTATTTGGTCGTCTGAATGACTGAATATGTGTTTTTTATGACTCATTACATTGCACTGAGTCTGCATCAAATCCTGCTAAAGAAGCAGAACATGGTTCTTCTTAAGCATGACAATAATAGAATACAGAACTAGGATATATATGCTACAATCATAAATAAAGAAAAATATGCAAAGATATGGATAAAGCCCAGAAAGGCACACAAAAAATAAACATATCTATGCTGAATATGACCAGAATTTAAGCATATTCTTTGCAAATGTTCCCTGGTTTTTAAAAATGAAAATGATTATGTGGTATGATAGTATACATGTTAAAAAAAGGTGATTATTTAGTCACCTCTGTATGCCCCTGTTGAGTCATCTTTTACCTTAAAATGATACCAAAAAGAATTAAGTAAAATTAAAACATTTCCAAAATATTTGACTAGATATTTAGAGTTGCTAGATAACACAAAACTCAAAAAAGACTGTATTTGCTTAGCAAAGTACAGATATATGTCACAGAAAACAGGATTCAAAAGAGCAAGATTAGTATTTAAGTTTCACACGACTACCCAATATGTCCCAGTACGTTTAGACTGTAGAGTCCAACCAAGCAGGGGTTTTAGACCAACTACCAAGGGAAGCTAAATTGGATTACTACATCAGGAGTAAAAGTAATTAAAAACAAACAAACAGAGAAGCAGCACTGCTTAAGTGTACTGAAAAGCTATGCACTACAGGACAAAAGAGTTATGTAAAAAAATGCAGGGAAACAAGACCAAGACAAGGGCGTCCCAGCTGTCCACAGCGGCACATCTCCCCCACACTCACACCTCTTCACGCAGCATCTCGTCCATTCCACTAAGTTCAAAGCAAAGCAAAGAATACATACAGATCATCTACCATGTTTCCTTTCGTACTATATGACTTTACTTTAGATTTATATTTTTTAAAAGCCCAAAGTGTCTCTCATCCTAGACCTATTTGACGTTATTACATTTCCTTAAGAAACAAACTGTTTCACAAAGCAAAACAGAAGGAACAAAACTGCAGTAGACTCACAGACACTGAGAAGTGACTGGTGGTTACCATGGGGAATGGGCTGAGGTGGTCGGGTGGGGAGAGTGAGGGGAATAAAGGGACATGAAAAATCTTAATCATAATAAAGTTGGTAGCTTAATCATGGGGTTGGTAGTACAGCATGGAGAATATAGTCAATGGTTCTGAACATCTTTCTATGTTAACAGATAGTAACTGTACCAGTTGGGGTGAGGATTTAATAATATGGGTAACTGTTGAACCATTGTGTTGTATATCTGAAACCAATGTAAGATTGTACATCAACGATACTTCAATACAAAAAAAAAGATAAGAAACTGTTTCACATGAAGAATACCGTGCTATTGAGAAAGACACACACGCAAAGCTACAGAAATATGAAAAAAGGCCTGGGAGACTAATCTTAAGGATTTTCCATTTCCTATTTTTCACATTTCTATACAGATTGAATTTTTACTATAGGTGCATATGCACTATATGCACAATTTCTAAAAGTACATAAAAAGCAAAAAAAATTTGAGACTACATTGGCATTAAGCAACAAAATGATCAACTAAACCTCCTAAGAAGCATGAATGTACCAAAGAATAATTATGCCCAGTCACTCCCACCTCCATTTCAAAATGCACACCCCAAAATACACACTCCAAGTCGTAAGACCCCCCACTCGGCACTGAGTTTAGGAACTATTTTATTAATCTACACACTCAACATGTGAGTAGAATTCTTACCCCAAATTCTGCCATATCTGTTTGCACTCCAGGTCTGGTTCTAAGCCAGCTGCTTCATCCCCACCAAAGTAAGTCACATAAAGTCTTTCAACTGGAATACCAAATTCTTGGGTGAGAAGTTCCAGAGCCATTTTACAGGCCAGTTCCTTATAAAGAGACAAAAAGAAAGATGTGGAACATGGCCAAACCAGAATCTATTTAGTATGAATAGAAAAAGACCAGTAAGGACTATAATATTTTCACTACAAACTCAGCTAAGTTCAGGACCAATATATACAAGAAATCCAAATGTAAACTGAAATTATCCAATTACACGTACTGTTCTACAATAGCCAAGATATGAAAGCAACCTAGGTATCCATGGATAAAGAAGATGTGATACACACACACACACACACACACACACACTCACAAGGAATGTTACTCAGTTATTAAAAAAATGAAAGCTTGCCATTCATGACAATGTAGATGGACCTAGAGGATAGCTAAGAGAAGTTGGACAGAAAAAGACAAATGCAATATGATTTCACCTACATGGGGAACCTAAAAAACAAAACAAACAACAGAAACAGACTTATAAATACAGAAAACAAACTGGCGGTTGCTAAAGAGAGGAGATGGGCAAAATAGGGAAAGGGAATAAAGAGGAACAAACTGCCAGTTACAAGTAGGTCTTGGGGATGAAAACTATGGCATAGGAAATATAGTCAATACTATGGTTAATATCTTTGTATGACAGATGGTAACTATATTTATCATGGTGAGCATTTTATAATGTTTATAATTGTTACATCACTAGGTTGTACACATAAAATTAATATAGCATTGTATGTCAACTACACTTCAATTTTTTTTTTAAAGTTATAGGTCTGCTTCCAGGAAGTCTTAGAATGAATAAATGCCTTTCACTAGTAGATAAATAAGTCTTCTAGATGATATTTCAGATTTTTAAAAAAGCAAAGTTAGAACCTATTTCCTTCAGTGGAAATGACTATTTTGCTCAAAAACCCAGTGAGTCTCCTCTTTGCACTTACCTTGAAGTAATCTCCAAAAGACCAGGAGCCTAACATCTCAAAGAAGGTGTGATGATAGACATCCTTGCCCACATCGTCCAGGTCATTGTGTTTTCCCCCAGCCCGGATACATTTCTGAGTATTGGCAGCTCTGCTCAGCTTTGCCATAGGGTGAGATGGGTCAATAGTGTTCAGAAAAATGGGTTTGAACTAAAAAAGAGAGAGAACATTTCACCTTTTTTAAAGAGGTGCAGCTATATATCAGGTGGTCACATGGTGGCAGGAAGAGATCACACATAAAATGCTCAACTAGTGATTTAATTAGTCTGGATTATGGAAATTTATGAGAGGCAGGCAGCCTTATGGGGCTGTAGCAGAGGCACCTATCTTGGAGCAGCTTCTCCCTGGTCCTTGCTCCCTGAAGGGCCCCACCACTGCCATGATACCACCCCCCACAGGGGAAAGGCCTGCTGCACCTGAGATAACAGCAAAAGGTTGACGGGTGACACCTGTGCTTGCCTGCAAGTCTCTGACAGTCAGGGCTTAAAATATCTTTCTAGAAGAACCTATTCTAAAAAGTGAGGTGCTGGCTTGACAGTAAAGGTAATAAGGAAGAAAAAACTTGAGACTTAGTAAGGGAGTAAAATCGGCACAAGTCAGCAAATGACTAGGTGTGAAGGGAGACAGCATTACCTTGCTCTGAGGATTTACCAAGTTACACTTTGATGTATCATTGTTATTTATGTAACTTCTTTATTTGCCTACTAGTCCTGACCAATTTGGTAACCACTAGCCACCTGTGACTATGTAAGATTAAATTAATTAAAATGGTTAATAACCAATTTAAAAATTTTTAAGTGAGAACTTCTACTCAGTAACACACATGCTGTAAGTGTGAATATGGCAGCACAAAAGAACATTACCATCATTGCAAAAAGTTCTACTGGAAAGTCTTGCTCTAGACCATGAACTACTTAAAAGCAAAAACTCTTACTTATTTCTGTACATCCAGCACCTAGCTTAGTACCTGAAAAAGAGCAAAGCCCTAATACATTCCATATCCAAAAAAAACCAAAAAAAAGGCAAATAAAAAAGTCAAGGTATTTCAGACTAACAGGTCGCACAGTACAAGTGTTAACCAAATGACTGCCTGGGTTCAAATCCATGCTTCTGCAATTACCAGCCATGGGAGCTTGGGCAATTTACCAGCACGTTCAGTGGCACTTTCAGATGGTACAGTGGGGATGAAATGAGTTAATGTATGCAAAAGACACATAACAGAGCCTGGCCATAGTAAGTGCTACACGCAGGCTAATGGTTCCTATTATTCAGAGAATGTTTATTAACACTGGAATCATCCCATGGATTTTCCATCAACTATAGTCAGCACATGTGGGAGAAGACAAAGCCAGTGCCTGAATAGAATGGAACCTTCCCAGTGTTCAAAAAACCCTGTCACCTTGAAAGAGTCCACCTAAAATGAATGTCCCCAAGTCCAGGTGAATGCATAGGACTCACACATGTAACTGAAAACATTTTCATAATTTCATAGTTAATGGTACATAAGGTAGAAAATGTCCCCACTGCCTCTAGTTTTCCTTGCCAGAAAAGAAACTTGAGAGAAAAGAAAATGCCAATTTATCCCAGAGTGAGGCACATCCTACAGGCTGGTGGGCCCCCTGGGCTAAGCAGGGCTCCTCGAGAACCAGCATAGGAAACCCGGGGGGCACCAGCCAAGCCAAATCCACTTCCAGCTGAGGTTCTACCTGGTACACAGTGATCACCGTCACTGGTACACTAAAAAGCTCCTTTCAGCTCCTTTATAAACTTGTGGTGCTCCCATTATTTTAAGAGAAAAACCTTTTCTCTAACAATAAAACTTTCAAATACCTTTTATGGTTCAACCTTCCCAAACACAAATTTTGCTTATCAAAATTTCTTCAGCCATAGATCCAAACTGGCATTGGTGGCAGGAGCTTCAAGAAAAAGGCTAAAAAAATGGATGAAACTGTGTATGGCCTAGAATGAGGTTGAAAGTCAAGTTTCATTTGAATAATCTTGAAGAAGTGACTTACTTTATAAAGAAAAAAAATGGATAATAAAGAGATGAAGGAGAATCACAGTAGCTGAGTTAGTAAGTCTCTTCACGGCTCAACGAGATTAACTCAGACTAATAAACATAGCTTTTTCCTTACAAGAAAAAAAAGGCAAAACTTTCCAGACTAGATGCAGGCAGTTTTTTTTTTCTTGAGAGTCATACCAGTTTTATCTAAGGGTATCAAGGTCTCTCATCGTAATTTAACATAATAGCTAAGGTTTGAGTACCTATTCAAATACTCTGCTAAACATTTTTAAAGCATTATTTGCTCCTCATTGCAACCTAAAAGCAGGCACTATTATTATTCCCAACTTCACAAAGAAAGAGAGGCTCAACAACATAAAGTCCCAAAAGCTCACACAGTGAGTTTCAGAACACGGATTCTGTCTTGACTCCAGGGGCTATACTCTGATTACTGCTCTGCTGCCTCCTCCTACGTGGACAAATAGCCAGACTCTTACCTGGTTCATGCCTGCATTGGCAAAGAGCAAAGTGGGATCATCCAATGGGATGGTGGCAGATGAATGAACATAGGTGTGTTCATTTCTCTTGAAGAAATCTATGAATCGCTGCCGAATTTCACTTGCTGTTAGGGTTGAGTCCATCTTGAAAACAACCCTAAAGAACTAATCAAATAAAAAATGAAGGGAAATTAGGGAAATTGAAACTAAGAAAAAAGTAAGCATTACACAAGACTCCTAGCTTCTCAGGCCAAGTCAAAGCAGGACACGGGTAAGCTGTTTGATCCTAAAACTTCTGTGTTGTCATGTCCGAGGCTAAAGTCACCATCAAAGGAAAACTTGCTGCACCAGCAGACAGCAGCCCCACGTGTTCCTCCTCCCCACGTCAACCTCCATAGGTTTAATACAGCACACGTCAAGAACAGGAGGTGATTTCATGTATTCACTCATTCCAAAATATGTATGGAGCATCCTCTGTGCCAAGCCCTAGGCCAGGAATTAAGAAATCAGAATAAAAACTTCACAGTTTCAAGTCCAGCAGAGAGGCCCACTGGAGATGGGGGGAGGCTCAGGAGACCTGGGTTCCAATCCTAGCTCCAAGTCAGCAACAAAGGAGGGGCCATAAGAGATGAACTCTGGAGACTCTTCCAGCTCTGTGTTAATCTACATGCCTAGAACTGTGCAAAGGTCCATTATCCCCAAGCCAGGTTCTGGATTTGGCCTGACCATCTCAGGGAGGCTGCAGCAGTGGACCTGGGGATGGGCCGATTTGTCAAGGGATCACCTGCAAGTAGCAGGAATGTACCCACCTCCATCTAAGCATCCCCAGATCCACAGCTGGTAAACCACTACCTTCCCAGCTGCTAGATTACTACAGAGTGAGGATGCTGTAGCCACACTAAGGACATAGAGCTGCTTAGAGTCAGTGAAAGAGAAAAGGAGTCAGAAGAGGAAACTGGGAAATAAAGCGACTTTACAATCTCAAAGCTCTTTCACAAATACTACGATTTTTTTGAGGCAGGCTGGGGAGAAGGGACAGGCCTTGGTGGAGGGTACCAATCACTGGCATGGTGCTGCAAAGCTATGCAGCACGGTTGTCTAGAAGAATGTAAAAAATCTCATTCAGAACATTATCTAAGAGTCTCTGAAATTCCATACCCAACTCTAACAGTAAATAAGTCACTTTGTCCAAGTTCATTTTCTTTTTCCTCTGCCTACTCCACCTGGGAGTTGTGAGGCTCAAAAGCCCATCCTGTATTTAGGAGCAGTTTGTAAACTGGCAAGCCCAAAGGGACAGAATGAATAGTATTACTTTAAGTCACTTATCATAGTTTTCTTCCTTCCTGTGAGGAAGAAACAATAAAGAAAGATGTACACAGTGAACATGAGACTCCGATTCTCAGATTTATGTTTAAACACAATTTCAATCTGTTTTTTCACAACTTAATCAGCTCATTAGTCAAACAAAAGCCCTTTGGGCAAAGAGATGGTGAAACACTGGCTGACAGCCAAAGAGCTGACTACAGTTTCCACAGATGAGAACTTTATGTCCATGCTAGTCATGGCTAGGGTTTTTAGAAACACTGTCATACCACGTTCTTCTTCATCCCTTCTCATCATGGCTTCTCACTAAGTCTTAATAATGGTGGCAAACAGTGAACAGACAGTGGTAATTTTGAGAAGCAACATCATAGCTGCTTCAGAATGTTCACTGCTCCTCCTTTAAATGTCACCTGAGGTAACTAAGCAGTTCAATTCCAAAGATGTGTGACTTTTACATTTTTTGCTTATTCATTCAACATACTGAATGCATACTATGTGCTGGGAACCAAGATGAATCAAAGTCTATGCCCTTAATGGGAAGAGAGCCACATACACAGATAACTGCAGTATCTTGTAAAAGGATCTACTATATCGACCATAAGCTCTAAGGAGGCTGAAACTACCAAAAGCTGTGTCACCAACATCACTCATTCATTTGTTTATATAAATATACTGGAAGAATGTACACAATATAGAGGTAGTACAAAGGAGGGACCTCAGCTTCCATTCCCAGCAGAAGCTGTCAAAGTCTTGAGAACCTTAAATCACACTGGTTGCTGGGTTTAAGGCTCCAGCTACAGAATCTTTCAACATGCTCTTGATTGCCAGGTAAGCTCTCTACCCTATTCCCATTATTTCCCACTTCCTAGTTAATTTCTCATTCTCGACACCTCAATTCCAAAGAGATATCTATCTAAGGACGGCTTCTTGATCAGTTCGAGTCTCCCTGTTTTATCTTCATAGACCCAGGCGTCTTCCTTCATAATTTCCACATGCATTTGACAGCTTGTTTAATGCCCATCTCCCCATCAGGCTGTATATTCCATCCCAGTAGGAATCATGACTGGTTTCTGCTGACCGTTAAGGTATATCCTCAGCATATAGTAAGTGGTTGCTAAGTATTTCACAATTAGGCATAATCTTTTAAGAGCAAACTGTGAATCAAATTAAACCGGAAATGCAGACAGTATGAAAAGGTAGTATCTGAACACTAAGGGGTAAAGAAAGTGCTTCCTGGTGGGCCTGAACCAGCTACAGTAATTTAGCTAATTTTAAGCATTTAGGGAATGACTCACAGCGGGATTACAACCATCAAGCCCACCACCTCCCTTCCGCCGCCCGCCCCTAGAGATTTAAAACCAAGGGAGATGAAAACCTCAGCTTTAGGCTGGTATTCAGTGGCAACCGTGAATCCTCCCAGGGTCCTGGTCCTCGGCAAGGCCACCCGAGGCCGCTCCCGCGGTCTGACAAAAGGCCACTCTCCGGCTGCGGTGTTGCCAGGCGGTTGACCCGGCCTGGACTCCAGCCCAAGCTGAGGGTCCAGAGGCCTCGCGCGGCCTGGCCTAGGGACTCGCCGGCAGTCGCGTCTCCAGGACACTGGCCCTGCCGCTCTCGCCGCGCAACAAAATTCTCCCAGGCCCGCCTGCTCCTCCCGAGGGTCGCCGCCCCTAATTCCACCCTCAAGAGACCACCGGCAGGAGGCCGCTGTTACCTGTTCCCGCAGACTCGCAGCTGTGCGGGCCCCACGCCACGACGGGATCCGCGCAGCCCCACCCAATCAGAGCGCGCCGATGAAAGTACCTTCCCGAGACATTACTGGTCAACTCACATGCCAATCAACTCGAGCACGAATCAGTTTACTAACCGGTTTCTGGGGAAACGGCCATAAATAGGCTGATGCAATGGCCGGGGAAAGAAGGTAAGTGGTACTTCACGTGACAGAGTAGGAGGCGACTTCAGGAGCCCGACATTTTGGTATCCATATGCTAAGTCCTAATAGTTGAGATGGTTAGTAAGGGCAAACGGGGACATGTGTTTCGTAGAGGTCACAATTCATATGGTTATGTTCATTTTAGTTGCAGAATGGTATGTAGACCGCCAAGATTATGATGTGTTGTGCCCATGGATACACTTGTCCTTGCCAGATCTTGGATTTGGTATAGAAATAACTTACTCGTTGAGGGACAACTGAATTGGTATCTCGTCCTTGCTTTGCCTTGAAAAATAATAGTTAATACTTATGAGAGTCATTGTGGTAAACATTTCACATTGATGATTTCATTTAATTTTTAGACTGCATACTAGGCAGGTCAACTGGCATCCCTTTTTACAGATGAGTTAATTGCCCGCCCAAATTCACATTGTAGAGTTGCACAGCCAAGATCCAAACTCACTTCTGTTTAACTCCAAAGTGCATACTCTTATCTATTCCACTGTTACTTACATCATCTCAGATATCCAAATAAACGGGTAAAAAATAATGCTGGTGGTCTCACATGGGTTAAAGATACTGCAGGAAAAAAAATTTTTTAATGTAAAAGAACATCCTACCCAAATAGAAAGTCAAGGTCAAAAGCCCATATAAAAAATGACTTGAATTAATTCCTCAGTTCACAGCAACTCATTCAAAATAATCATCACACCTAACATTTGTTGAGTCTTGCTTGGTATGCAGCAGGTACCCATATAAGCTTTTGATCCTAACCACCTTATGAAGAGTTACTATTGCCTGCTTTAACAGCTCTAAGTCACTCAGAGGTTAAAACACCTAAGGGTAAAGTCAAGACTGACAAGTGTTTGTTCCAAATTGGTGCAAAATAGCATTATTATGCCCAAACAAACAAGAAATGGGTCAGACTTCTGTGCCACCACAATTAAAATAAAAAGCCAAAGTTGCACAAATTGTACTTTCAAAATAAAGTAATATGGGTTGTAGTCTCAATAACTTGGCTATGTTGCCAGAGTTGTTGCTGTTAGGATAGCACTTTCATGAATGAATCATGGACAGGTTTTTAAGAGGGTGTTTTTTACTCACCCAATATGGGCCAATACACCTGAAGAGAAATTGTCACTGAAGCCCAAATTCACATTCTTCTAAACATAAATTTTTTACATGTATTATTCAATTCTCTGTTATTTTTCTCTTGCAGATAACATCAACTATATAATACAAGGAAAACTGTCTTAATGCAACATGTAAATTATGTATTTTAGGAATTTTCTAACATTCTGGGCTAAGCAAATAGGCCTCTAGGTAAGAATGAGTGCTATTATGTAAGGCTCACTATGCAGTGGAACATTGATGGAACCTCACCTTGGTGCATGAGGAAAATAACAGGGGTTCAAGGTAGCAACTAATATACTTAGTTTTAGGAGGATGTAGTTGTAGCTCCAGGAGGAGGTTTCCCACCCAGGGAAAGTTCTCCATAAATTCGTTGACAACAAAGAAAGGCAAGGGCAAAAAGTTGGGGGTGAAGGAAGTTACCACGTTTATTCTCACGGAGGTCACAGGCAGCTCAGTACACACAGCTGGCTCAAATGTGCTCCCCAGGCCGGCTATAGGTCCTGTTTCCCAGCACGAGCTTAATCCTCTAGGCAGTAGGTCTCAGTCTCTCCTTCCTCCCCACCTTCCAAGCTCCCTGCTCCCATGCTCAGGCTTAATTCTCCAGGAGCACTGGGGCTCCACAGTTTTCTCGCTCTTCCCATGGCAGCCAGCCCCCTGCTCCCGCGCTCCAGGAGCAACTCTGTAGGCAGATCCCTGGTGACTGGCGAATGCCTGACCAATTACATGAACACAGGCAAAGGAGAGAATGGGTGTTTCCTCTCTACCTCTCCCCCGGGACGGCTTCTCGTAGTGACTGACCAGCAGCTTTATCGCAAGTAAACATCCCGTAAATGTGCAAACATACTCTTGTTATTTACACACTGGGCGCTATTAAGGCCAAGTGAGAATTCTGGCCAGAAAGTTCCATTTTCCCCACAGCGGTCCTAGATTCTAATTGTTCCATGGCACCAAAACTATTTTTCCCGTTTATAAAAAGGACTTGGAATGTTAATTTATTTCCTGTCAAATAAAATGGGCATAACTGAACAGCTGTTTTCAGACCTTAAAGCGCTATAGGCATCATCTGGGATCTTACAATGCTGATCCTGATTCAGTAGGTTTGGAGTGAGGTCTGAGGTTGTGCACTTCTAATAGGCTCACATAATATCGATGCTTCTGAGGTGGAGGGCCAATGGTGGTGCCGGGAAGGCACTTGGAGTAGCAAGGCCTTAACTAGAGGATGAGCTTCACCTATTTGTTAGAGGTAAAGATGAAAAAGTTGAATCTATCACTGAGGATGTGCATTACTTATCTGTTTATTCACCAAAGGAGTGTTTACTGTGCCTTAGTCCCTGAAGATCAACCTTAAGGAAAAGACACTACTCTGTCTTTCTAGAGCTCCCAGTTTAGCTGGGGGCCAGACCTTATGCAAAATGTAACAAAGCTAAATACACCAATCTACACGCCTTCTTGAGCCTCGACTCCGCTTCTTGCCCCGAGGTTGTGCCGACTCCTCCACTGATTGGCTGACGGGACCAGCTTCTAGGCCTCAGCCAATGAGGCTCTGGCGGTGAGCGGCCGTTGGCAGAGGTAACCGCCATGCTGAGTGGCGATGGCCGGTGCAACTGGACGCATCCAGGGCCGTGTGCTGGGAAGCTTTCCTCTAGTCCTGCCCGTGGGCGACGTGAGTATCTCTAAGGATGGAAAGAGACTCTTTTTTCTACATTTAGGCGTCTTCTTCACCCCATCCCGGGTTGGGGGTGGGGGTGTGCAGGGAGGGCAGGAATAATAATAGTAGCTAGTATTTATCAAGCTTTTGCCATAGGCCAGGCGCTAGCTGATGGCCTTAACCTTGTGATCTGTTGAATCTTCGAGCCGTGTAAGGGTACTTAACCATTTCAGAGGAGACGGAGGTTGAAGTGCAAATAAATGCAGGAGGCCCAATTCAAATCCAGGAACTTTTATTACCCTGGTTCCTCCCTCCACACCCCATGTTGGAAACCTGATTCCTTCTTAACAGGAGTCTCAGCATTGTGCAGGTGTCAGGCGGGGCTAGTGGGGGTGTGGGTACGGTTAACATAGGAGAATCTAGAATCCTGATGCTTATTTTTAGTTTTTAAATAGAAAAATCCATCCTAAGAAGCTTGTATGGGAAAGATAAGCACAAATTCTAGAGAGCTGCTGTCTCTTGGGATGGCGATGCAGGGGGCTTCAGTTGAATCTTGTTTTATTTCTTAAACCCTGAGGTGGGAATCTAGATGCTTGTTATGTTAGTACCTCTCTTGCTCGTCTGAAATACTCAAAATTTAAAAGGAAAACATGCATATGAAAAATAAATTTCAGAGGATGGAGTATACACAATGAAAAGGAAGCCTTCTCCCACCCCAGACTTCTAGAGCCCCTCACCAGAAGCAGCTACTGTTATCAGTTTTGTGTGTACTTTATACATTTCCTATAGTATGTACACACATGTATGTGGGTTTGTATTTTTTTTTCTGCAGAAGTGAATCCTATTATATGCAGGCCTGCACCTTGGATTATTTATTTTTGACCTCATGAAACTTTAAAAAAATATTCTTTACCCTTTTTGAGCTCTGTGATCAACAAAATTTCTCTGGCAAAATATTCGCAGGGTTGCTTCTTACATGATGAGATGTAGGTCGTGGCTTCCCGGGTGTGAGTTTGCCTTTTTCTTTTTTGCACATTCTTGTAGAACCCAAAAGTATCTTCACCAAATTAACCCCCTAAGGAGTGCAGGAAAAAAATCATGGCCCAGAACTGTTCTACCCTTTTCCATTTTTACTCATGCAATACAGTTACGTAAAACTCTATGTAGAGCCACTGGTGCTTGAAATTATTTATTGTAGTGGAACATTGGCAAAGTGAGAAAAGTGGGAATTCATTTTATCAGGCTGCAGGAAATGCCCAGCTTCTTTCTAGAGTAACAAGGGAGAAGTCTGTTTGATTCCAGTTAAGGAAAAGCAAGTGTCACATTTAATCCCTATTTTACTCCTTCTAAAATCCCAAGATATTTTTTCCTATTTAAAAATTCTCCCAATCACACAACCCTTACTTGGATGAGCTGGGATTGTAACCCAGGCATAGCTAATTCCAAACGTAAAGCCAAATGGGGAGGGGTTCCCTGGGGTGGACTCATTTGCTCCTTAAGATGCTCTGCATGGCCCTTTTCATCGACCTCCTACCAGCCTCTTCATTCCTGGCTTTTGTCAGTCTCTGTGTGAAGTTCAGCTATACAAACCTTCTTACTCTTGTTTCTGATCCTCTACGTAGAACTTACTTCTCTAGCACCTTCCTTGAATGTTTCTCAAGGTGAAATTCCTGTAAGTGGTGTTGCCACATAGTCTATGGGACAAGCTTTTAACCAAAAGGCCTGAGAAGGCTGATTTCCAACACCCTGGCCAACATATGGGCATTTGAAATTACCAACCTGAAAGGTGAGGGAAAAAAGATCAAGCTTGTTCCGATATGCATTTTGGTGATTACCGTATCTGTAATACAGGTTTTGGGTTTTATGTACTCAATCTGTACATAATCTGTACACAATCTGTGCCACTGTGAGGGCAGAATGTGGTTTTCCTCTTTGGTTGGAGAACCAGCTGACAGAAGCTTAAGCAAGTTAAG